ATAAATTTTCTGAAAACCTGAAAAACATTTCTGAAAAATTATTAATAGCCACGGACAAAAGGTTCAGGGCCTTACTTTAAAACAAAGTAATGTTTCTAAAACTATGTAATATCTTTCGACTGTTCAACCCAGCCGTTAAAGTGGGTTTATGTGATTCTAGTAAAATTCTTCACATATTTGCTAAAAAATACTATTAGTCTTACAGCACAGATATAGCTGTCCTTAATTCTGAACCACTAATTATAAGGAAGACAGTGAGACAAAAGTCTCCGCCACCAGAAGGGCTTACTCAGGTCTTTAAACGAATATTTAAATATAAATAAACGCATAAATAAAGTGTTGTGAGCGATATACCACAGAAGTCTGATTGGAACTGAAAACTTTTTTTTTTTATTGGATTAACACAGAAAAGTATACAAAATTGTATTACAATAGAAACAAACACTTATAAAATTACCTATTATGTTTTGGGTTAAATAAAAATACATTTGTTGAGCAGATAAAATGTGCTCGTACTAATTATGTATATCAACACATTACTACAGTATAAGTTAAACTGATGTAAAAAGAAAAATTAAACTTATAAATCAATGAATGAACAACAAACAGGCCCACCGAGAGGGGGCTGAGAGGGCAACTATCCGGGGGCTCGTACATGCCCAAGGGCCCATAAAAAATGCCCCAACTTTAAACTCGACTTTCTAAAAAATTGCATTCTCTTAAGCTAAGAATCCATAGACTAGAAAAACTGATGCGAAATTAGTCTTCAAGCCAAGCCGAGTAATATATACCAGCTTACCCCCAATCTAGTAACCTCCCGATAATTCACGAAGGTTCGAGAGAAGGAGTGGCATGATACTAGTCACGTGACCTCGCTGACGCAACAATTGCTTGAGTGTGACCAAACCCATCAACTAGCGCTGTGTAAAGTTAAGTTTGATCTGCAACTCAACAGCGTATAGGCCTTCTCTCGCTCGCATTATTACGTTAAATATACTAAGAAAAATTTGAAAATGTCGAAATGGAAAGATTACGAGGCTGCAAGAAAGTATCATCCCGAGTGGGAAAGAGAGTACTCTTGGCTGAGTAAGAGTACTGATGGCAATGAGCAGACATATTGTAAAATATGTAAGAAAAATCTGCATCCCAGATAGGCTACCTTAAAGACATACAGTGATACAAAAGAACATAAGGTTAGAAGTGCCATTCTTTCCCCGTGCAGTACTATGAATTTTCCAAAGACAACATCAAAAGCTTCTAAGGAACTTAAAATATGTGAAATAGAACTCGCTGTTGCGGTGTGTTGTCACTGCTCTGTTAATGGTATTGATCACATTGGTTATGTCATCAAGAAGCATGGTAAGAGAAGTTGCCTCGAAAACCTTCGATTGCACCGAACTAAGTGTTCAATGCTCATTAAAAATGTGATTGCTCCTTGTTTAGAAAACGAAATAATGAACAAAATGAGAAACAAGAAATACTGTTTGCTTGCTGATGAGTCTACTCACATTTCTAGTGATAAAAACATGCTCGTTTGTACAAGATATTATGACGAAGACGATGGGACGGTGAAAACCTCATTTTTGGGACTTGTTCCTGTCGTCGAAACAACTGGAGAAGTTCTTAATGAAACACTGTTATCTCAGCTTGAGAAAAGAGAGTTGAGTCTGTCTAATTGTATTGGTTTTGCCAGTCATGGAGCTAGTAACATGGTAGGGGAAACTCATTGTGGTCGAGACTTCGAGATGAGTCACCATATTGCGTTAAGATGCCATGCACCTGCCACAGTCTTGTGCTTTGCATTCAGAAGGGCTTTGAAAAACTGCCTTCAAATTTAGGCTTTCTTTTGAGGGAAATTCCTGCATAGTTCAGTAAAAGTATCCTTAGACATTCAAATTTTAAAGATTTATTTGAAATTATGAATGCAGGTGATGAAAGGGTTGGTGTGTCATTATCTTTTCAAAAAATGTCAAACACAAGATGGCTAGTGCGAGGCAAGGTTATGTCAAACATTTTGTTAAACTGGGAAGAATTGAAGGCGTACTTTACATACACAAGCCAATATGGAGCACAGGATGTGCGTAGCAAAGCATGTTTGATTGTGGACATGCTAGCAGATGATGCCAACTATCTCTATTTTGTTTTTGCGGTAGCACTCGTTTCTGAGTTTGAACAAGTAAACACGCTTTTTCAGGCAACAAATGCCAATCCTGAAAAGCTAATAAATGACCTTGACGTTCACTACAGATCTCTTCAAAACAGTGTGTATGATGTGAACGAAATACAGCTGCCTATGTCAAAAGTTCAGTTTGGTGCAAAATTTGATTCTGAGTACGAAAGATGTAAAAAGAATTCCAAAGACCAGATTCGATTTGTCAAGGAGAGATGCCATGAAATGATTATCGAACTGGTGGTTCAAGTTGAAAAGAGACTGCCCACAAACCGGCAGTTATTCGCTGGACTGAAAGGATTGGCATCTAGCATTGTTCTTTCTCAAACAGACCGACTATCTTTCAGGGTATTTCCATTTCAGAATCTCCTACAAAATGCAAGAGCTGTGTGTGACAGCCAATACTGCAAAATTTTGTGTAACCCTTGGAATGAAGAAACTAGTGGGTTTAAAGATGGCGTAATTTCAAAAGATCCCCTTGAGTTTTGGGACGGAATTATGAGGTATCAAGATGCTTGCAACACACATGTTTATGAAGATCTAGCAACCTATGCATTATCCTGTTTGACCACCTCAGTGATTAATGCAGTTGTCGAATGCATATTTTCCCATGTCACCTCTGTAAAAAACACGTTCGCAATCGTATGGGACTGTGCATGTTAGAAGCCACTTTGAGAATCAGAACGCATCTTATAATGAGTAGTAACTGTTGCAAAGATTTTAAAGCAACAGATAGCATGTGGGCTCTATTTTAGACGAAAATGTACGATAGTAAAAATGATGCAGATGACAATCTCGATGCACTCTTTCACTAACCAGTATGGAGCTAAGATGTTCACCAAAAAAAAAGAGGATGAAAAACGAATCATCAAAGCAACAAACTGTTAAAAAGATCTTATCAAGTGTATTCCATTTTTTTCCTTACAGTTTGAGTTTGTAAAGGTTATTCCTCCATAGTTTGTTAAATATTAAAAAGTAAGAAAGAAATTGTCATGTGTTCTTGTATTAGATTTTACTGAGAGGTTGTTTGCAGTGTTGGTATCGTGTCTAGTACTTCAGTGCCCCTGTAGACAACAATGCAGTATCAAGGACGTAAACGAGGCCCCTTACAGTTTTCAGTTTTTTAACTCTATAGCAGAACCTCACCAGTTACCATGCCAACAGTGACAACATTTTCGAAAACTGTCAGTAAAGCTCATGTTATTTTGTGGGTTTTTTGTTTGCTTTATTTCCATACAGTAATATGCATATATCATACAGGTCAATTGTAAATCGTATAGCCTAAGACAAAAAGAAAATTTACAAAAGATAACAATCCTTACACACGAATGATATGATACGACATAAATATACATGAACAATAGATAAAAAAATATGTGTTGTTACGACAGCGGAAGTTACGTGACGCTGCTGGCGTGCGTGATGAGTTTCTCGAATGATCGGGGAAGTCCGAGATGCCCTCTTTGTTAGTATATAAGCCTGGCAGTGAAAGCCAGCAGGGTTAATGAAGGGAGAGCAATATTTACTTTGAGTTCCGTGTAATTTATGATTCTGTTAGTTTCGAGCTAGTGAGCTGTAAAGTGTGTGTCTTGCACTC